TCGAAGCAGATTTAAATGCTCTTTCAAACTATATTGGGGTTTCCTATACCTATCTGGCTCAGATTTTGAATAAAAAGCCATTTTTCAATAAAATTGTAATCAAGATGGCTAGTGTTGTCATGGCAAGTTTCTAGTGACAGTTAGTCAGGGGCGTAGATAGGTGTATGCTATGGGGGTGGTACTATGATTAAGCCGCAAAAAAATCACCGTCGGAATTTTTTTGTCGAATTAAAACGACGGCGATCTTTTTGTCTTCAAAAATATATAAAAACATAACAAAAAAATTAAAATATAGATTTGTAAATAACATAAACAAAAATGAAACAACGACGTTTATTAGTTAATTTTCTATAAACTATAAATAAAAACTCTAAACTATCAAAAAAAACTATAAAAACTATAAACTATAAATAAAACTACAAAACAAAATCAAGTTTTCTAGTACGCTGTTTGGAAAACCTATCAATAACAGCATCAACATTTATTTCAATATCTTTATGGATATTGATTAGAGTTAACCCCACTAATCTGCCCTGGCCAATAAGAACACTTTGTATGCTTTTAATAAGGTCGAACATATTATAAACAATAAATCAACATAATTAAAAGCATACAAAGTGTTCTTATATGTCGGATATTAATTTAAAAAATCCTTCCATAGTCAATGACTATTTCAATTCTCGTATCTCGTCAAGCGTCAGGGGGGGGTACTGTCCCCCAGTACCCCCCCCCTTATCTACGCCCTTGCAGTTAGTAGCTATTTTCAAAATCGAAATTAGTTTATGTACTTATTTAAATTTATACCAGTTTACTTTTATTTAATTTACCTACAATAGTTTAATAAATAATATTTATTAAATATGTGTTTATTATTCTATGAAAAAAAAAACGAAGAAGTAGTCTTTGAATTATTTTACGATGACTTGTAGATACATGGATTTTCTATAAAAGAGCCAATTACCGCAAATTCATTTTCTTCACTTCCAACGACAGGTTTCTGCCTAATGGTTTTTTTATAAACCACACTCTACCAGGCCAAATAGGACAAGAAGTTTTTCAAAGAAACTCTTATCAGGAAGATTCCTATTTGGATATCTTTGAGCATAAGCCCTTGAGGCCAAGAAGCAATTGTCCCTATAAAATAATATCACTAGAAACATATCTATTCGTTCCGCCAGCAGATACTGCCACAGATAACACATAATCACACAGATTATGTGTTATCTGTGATACTGCTTTATTTTTCTTGATAAAATAATGAATACTTACTTATTAAACTATTGTTAAGTAAACTGTTATAAATTATAAATAATAATGTCCATAAACTAATGTCGACTTTGAAAATAGTTACTAACTGTCACTAGAAAATTGCCATGGCGACACCAGCCATCTTGATTACAATTTTATTTAAAAATCGCTTTTTATTCAAAATCTGAGCCAGATAGGTATAGGAAGCCCTAATATAGTTTGAAAGAGCATTTGAATCTGCTTCGATTTATTTAGAAAAATACAGGGTGTTACATTTGAAATAACAAAGTTTTTATTTAAAATATATCCTTAAAATAGATCAGCAACTTTTGATAGCCCTGTATAAATTTAAGGAACCAATACCATTTTTCAGTAAAGTTTATTTCTCAACCTTTAAACTCGATCAGGATAAGAATTAATTCTGAAAAGTAATGTACAGGGTGTTAATAGTCTATTCTATTGTAGCATGCAAATTTAAATATCTTTAAATATCTCATAAACCAAAGATTTTAAACATATTTAACCCTTATAATAAATGACAGAAACTAAAAATTTTAAACATATTTAACCTTTATAATAAATGCCTTTTTTTGGGCTCAAGAATCCAAAAATGAAATAAAATACCGGGTATTCCATAAGAAAAAATATAACTTTGGTATGGATCTTAGTTCTGAAACACCCTAGCTGTATATTTCAAAATAATTTTAAATTATGCACATTGCCTTTCCACATGTTTAGGTTTCACAACCTAAAGTATTTTGTTTCTACATCTTTCCGTTTTCGTATAATCAACCGAGGCGAATGAGGTGCGCCACCCTGTATATTAGATTTTTGGATTAAGGCATTTTAATAAAATTGCGTTTATTTCATCAAGGAGGCCGAAATCAACAAAATATCAAAAGACAAGTTTTAATCGGCATTAAACGGTCTACACAATTTTGCTAACAGAAAAAAGTAAGTGGCGCGCATGATTTTTTTTAGAAAAATATTCCAATCATATGCACGTCCCTGGTGAATCTGAAGATTATGCATACCTGAGTTTAAGTCTCTAAACCAGTCTAAACTAAATAAAGTTTCTAGATAAAAAATAGAAAATACCAATTGTATATAACTTTTAAATCCAAAAAATCAAATGCGCTGAAATTTTTAAAAAGGAATCATATAATAATATGTGGCGCCATCTTACGGTGAATAACGATATTATCTGAAAATACATTTCAGGCTAATATAATCCTAAAAATTGATTAGAAACTAATTACATCAACAAGTTATCCTACGCGTTTCAAATGGAATAAATATATATGCCATATTAACGATTAAAGTTTAATATGACTGGTTCAGTTAAAAAAATCGAAATTTGAAAATAAATTATTTTTATGCATAAAGATCCCTATTTATATCTGCCCTCTCTTTCATTATACTTTCATTCCATACTTTCATTCCTTGTGTGACAACTTTGACAAAATATCAAAAGTCAAAAAAATAACCTATAACTTAAACGTCAATTTTATTAAAAATAAAAATATTTGTAAATTACTTACAAAACTCAAGAAACCCAGAAGAAAAAAAACTAGATTTATTTAAAAGAATACTCGTAATTGTTAATACTATATTTTTAGAAAGTTGGTGTTTATATAATAATTAACGTTTCACTCCAATGATCAATGAACCATACAAATGCAGCAAATGTTTTACAATGTACAAATAATGTATAGGTACATAAGATAATGGGTAAAATGTAAATATATTTTAAATTTTGGGGTTTGAAAATCGATCTAAATTAACAAAAACATTTAATATCTACTAATAGTGATGTATTATTATTTGCATTCACAAAATTTATATGTATATCTTGCAAGTATCAATCTTCGAAAAATTATATTTACAAATAATACAATATTATCTAAAAAAGGCGTCAGCGATGGCTATGAAATGAAGATCGCTGGCATTTTATATGTAAAATTATTCTAAAATTTTTGATTTTCTTGGGATTTTTAGGTTCGGGAAAAACGCTGATTTAAGTTTTCATTTGGGTTTTCATTATTTTTATTTGGTTTAAAAAAACGTTTCGGCTAACTATAGCCTTCATCAGTGTTGTGTCATATGAGAAAAATAGTGTCGAATATAATCCAAAAAATTACAGATACAATATAATTCACACCTTATAATGTTTACTGCAAATAATAAACTAATATAAACTTATCAAAAGATGACCACATATTTTTTAAAATTATTATTCTTAACACTAAAATTATCTACATTGACTATGGAGTACGCAGTAAACATTATGTGCGTGGTGTGAATATTTTATATGTAATTTTTTGGATTATATTCGACACTATTTTTTTCATATGACACAGCACTGATGAAGGCTATAATGTTAGCCGAAACGTTTTTCTTAAACCAAATAAAAATAATGAAAAACGAAATGAAAACTTAATCAGCGTTTTTCCCGAACCTAAATTCCAAGAAAATCAAAAAATTTAGAATATTTAGAAACAAGGTTCAAGAATATCAAATTTTCCAAGATTGTAAAATTCTAGTTAATTATTTTATATGTACAGTTATTTAGGGAATGTCATCGATGTTCATTTCCAAGCCAACTAGACGCCGATTTTTTTCGGTGATACGGTATAATTCTTACGTAAAATGTAAATAACATTAGACCAATTAAAACAAAGAAATATGAATTTCTTTGTATTTTTAGTAACACCTTTATTCTTAAAACTTAATTTTGTATTATGCAAATATACCAATTTTATTGTTATTTTATTCATATTCTATTCAGCCATCACTTAAATATTTGATATTAATTTGGTATTATAAATAATCAACACCTTTCATTAAAAATTACTGAACAAATATATGTTATGCTTGACATACATTATATATTATCAAACAAAAACACATTCTTCTTTTAAACTGTATCTGTCTTGTCTTTACAAAAATCTTTTTTAAAATGAACTCAAAGTAATAATCTTTTTCATGATCTTTAATACACATATTCTTTATTTTTCCCTAGATCATAATACCTACTTACGTGTTTGAATCTATCGAAGCTGAACCAACAACACTTGGAGTGGAGATTCCACAATATGAATAAAATAAACATAGTTGTCCAGTTTTCATTAATACCATCATGGGAGAATATTATTTTTAAATTTATTAAAGATATTTTCAATAAAATTCTCTTGATTTATAACTCGTACCCACTTTTCTTGCTCTTCCGGACACTTTAGGCTGCCTAGTATAATAACTATCCTTAGTAACTATCCTTTCCACCAGGAACACAACAAAGATGAGGCATAGCACCAATAACACACTCCACTTAAGCTTTATTGATGAATTGTTAGAGTCTTAAAAAACACACACAAAAATCACGATAAGTAAAAAATGTATGGGCACTTTTAGGTTAAATCACTTGCACAACGTGTAATTTTTAAAATTTCTATTTTTTTATGCGAAACCGAGAGTGACCATATATCTGGTAGTAGTTTATGTCACTTCAACACCAAAATAATTAGTTTTGCACTACAATAATAAATAATACCAAAAATCAAAGAGTTAAAACCAAAAATCAACCGACAAAATATGAAACGGAATCTAACCCAATATCTAAGTATGTACAGCTGATGAAGTAAACAAAAGTCCGCCCCCAGGCTGATCTTTTAATAGAAGGCACTGATCTGCCCTCTCTTTCATTATACTTTCATTCCATACTTTCATTCCTTATGTGACAACTTTGACAAAATATCAAAAGTCAAAAAAATAACCTATAACTTAAACGTCAATTTTATTAAAAATAAAAATATTTGTAAATTACTTACAAAACTCAAGAAACCCAGAAGAAAAAAAACTAGATTTATTTAAAACAATACTCGTAATTGTTAATACTATATTTTTAGAAAGTTGGTGTTTATATAATAATTAACGTTTCACTCCAATGATCAATGTCTGAACAAGATGACTCATACAAAATAAAAGGTTTTGAATTCTTGTAACTTGGACGATAAAATCGTATAGTATTATGTGCCTTATACTGTTGTTTGTAAAAGTGAATATATTTTAATTAGTATATTAAATAAATTCTTGGTTATAATGGATGAACGAAGGCTGGCAGATTATTTTGTGGTAGCTGGATTACCCGATGATCCAGAAGTGTTGGACGATGCATCCCTTCCCGAGGGTGGAAATTTTGAAGTATTTAGCTAATCTCTTAGTATTAACTATGTGTAAACTTATTTGTTTTTAGTCATTGGCTCCGATAACAGAAATAAGTGTTATATTTCCTAGTTTGGGTGAAGAAGCACCAGAAGGTTGGGAAGTTATACGCAAAACACCCACTAATCTTGATGCCGATTTAAACCATGGTAGTCTGCGAGCTACTGAGTGTTTTTTATGTATTAAAAGAGGAAGGGATAAGCCTCCTTTAGTTGACATTGGTAATATATTTCTCTTGATTTACTTACAAACACAGCTTGGTTTTTATCGATTATCTTTATTTTAAGGTGTTATGTATGAGGGCAAAGAGTATGTGATGCAAGATGCTGAAAAAGTAAAAGAAAGCCTAGGCGGATCAGTTGCAAATGTTAACAACTCAACATCCCAAATTTTTCTAACTTACAGAAGAGGTGGGTATTTTTTACTTAACTTTAAAACACTCTTTTGTTAAAAATTATATTTTAGGATTGCCCACAATGCCTTGCAATGCTCTAGTTGTAACAGACGTATGTGTAGTAATCGCAAGTAAAGGAGAATCACCTCCCCATGCGTTCTGCTGTATAAGTAAGAACCTAAACAAGGGAATGCTTGGATCGGATGTTTTTCTCTGTTACAAGAAGTCAATGAACAAGGCTAAACTTATAACTTACAAACCAGATGTTTTGGCTAGGTATCCCATGGGCGATATTCCGGATTTTCCATTTCCCAATTCAGTACCGCTTTTTTGTTTGCCGATGGGTTCAACTCTGGAATTATGGCCTAAACAGACTAGCAAACCTAGGCCAGTGTTCAGTAATTTTGTTTTAACCGTATCGGATGCCAAACATAAAGTGTATGGGTCGGCTTTAACTTTTTACGAAAAATTTCCAGCAGAGAACATTACAGAGGAGCAAAAAGAACAACTAGGTAATTAAAATAATGTACAGGGCGTCCCAATATTCCGTGCACATCCAGAATTACTGTGTATTTTTGGAACCAATATACAGTAAGTACATTGGACGCACCTCTATACAAAAGTGCTTCGTTTGTCTGTCATCAAACTTTAAATAAACAGATTTTTTAAGACATTTTAAGAACCGTTATTCCGAATTGAGTGATATTTGGGGTGCTTATGTTTTGCTAAGCTCTTTAACATTTGGCTTTCACAAAAAAAAACAAGAAAAAGTATATTCTATGTTCGCGGAATCTTGGAACATCCTGTCTATTTGGATAATAAAATTTACAAATAATTTTTTATATGTTTTACTCTAAATTGTTTTACTTAATTATTTATATTATAGGTTATACAGAAGACAGTGATGGTTTGTTACATGTGAACAAAAGCATATGCATCTTAAGCCACTGGCCGTTTTCTGAAGAATTTCAATATTGGCTTAGCTACCTTTACGTAAGTCCATTAATATGCACCCTTAAAATCCTTTTATATTAATAAATTCTTCTTTTAGCAAATGGTAGCAGAGGGTGTACCCAGCCCTGTTCCCGTAGAGCGGTACATAACCCAACTTTTCGACGAGGTTCCGTTCCCGTCGCCGCGCACTCTTCTACAACTATCCGGCGAGATTCACGAACAGAGGGTGATTTTTATTCAACCCGAAGACCTGCCTCTGCCTCGAAGTGCCGCAGGTTTCAAACAGTTGTTACTCAATTTGGGCTCAGAGAATTGCCTTCAGGTAAGGTAGAATCTGTTAGGTTTTTCAGGTTCTTACTTTAAAATTGTTTCAAAATAGTTTGCTGATTGCGTAGAACAGATATTTTGGTCACTGCTATCTCTGACAAAAGTGCTTAGAGATATTTATAACATTACTGCTGTTGAATATAAAGATGGGTTTTATTTAACTACCTGATAATTTACCACTGTTACTTATCTATACTAATATAGTCTATAAAATGAATAACTTTGAATTTTGACCGTTATTTTTTACCAACATGTCAAATATAAAATCCCTCTATCAAAAAAGTTACTGATATTCTTTAAATTGAGTGCCTGAACGAATCAGATAGGTAACTCTTTTTACTTTCATGAAATAGAAAAGGAAAATAATAAAACAAGTGACAGTTCTTCCTCTTCTTGCAAAAATCAACACGAAATGTCATAATTGACAACAGTAAAATGTCATCAGCTTTTGACACTTCTAAATATTAGACCAATGCCGTCTCTAATAGAACAGCCACGGAGCGAGATTTATGACGTCACGCTAGTTAGATACTACGGATTAATAAATATGTTGTAGAATACATGGAAAACATAATTATTCCTCGTATTTTTGGTTTGTATTTTAAAAATGATATAATTTACATGAAATATACATAATATACAGTTAATAAATACAATATAATATACTTAGATTAAGAAGATAATATATACCTATTTATAGTAATAAATACTTTGGCAAATAAATTATGAACCATACAAATGCAGCAAATGTTTTACAAATAATGTGGTACATAAGATAATGCGTAACATGTAAAATATATTTTAAATTTTGGGGTTTGAAAATCGATCTAATTTAACAAAAAACATTCAATATCTACTAATAGTGATGTATTATTATTTGCATTTACAACATTTATTTATATATTATAATGTTTACTGCAATTAATAAACTAATATAAACTTGTCAAAAGATGACCACATATTTTTTTAAATTATTATTAACACAAAAACTTTCTACACTGACTATGGAGTACGATTTCAGCCATATTTTAAAACATTTGCTGCATTTGTATGGTTCATAGTTTATTTGCCAAAGTATTTATTACTATAAATAGGTATATATATTGTATTTATTAACTCTATATTATGTATATTTCATGTAAACTATTTCATTTTTAAAATACAAACCAATAATACGAGGAATAATTATGTTTTCCATGTATTCTACAACATATTTATTAATCCGTAGTATCTAACTAGCGTGACGTCATAAATCTCGCTCCGAGGCTGTTCTATTAGAGACGGCATTGCGTCAGCATGGCCGCAAGTTGCTAACCTAATAAAATTAACACTAGAAAAACCCGCGGGAACTGTCAAATTCAAAGTTATTCGTTTTACGGACTATATATAAAATCCTTAAGTGACTGACTCACTGATTAATCACGATCCTTCTCAAACCACTCAACGTAAGAAGCTCAATTTTGGCATACAGGTTGATTCTATGGTGTAGAGGTTCGATAAGAAGGGATTTTTCGAAATTCCAGTTGCAAGGGGGTGAAACCACTCCTCAAATATTACTACAATATTTTTTATTTAAAAAACGGTAAAGTTTCCGAAAAACGCTTAAACACGTATATTTTATTCTGTAGTTTTACATATTCTAAGATTTTTTAAAAATTTATACATGGTGTTTCATAAAATATGACCGTTGAGTAATCACGATTCTGCTTAAACTGCTTGACGTTTTAAGCTGATTTTTGGCAAACGGATTGACTGTGGGGTGAAAAGGTTCGATAAGGAGAGATTTCTCGAATCTCAAATTCCAAGAGGGTGAAAACGCCCCTCAAATATTACAATATTTGTTATTTAAAAAACGGTTAGTCTTTCGGGAAAACGCTTGGACACGCATAATTTATTTTGTCTTTTACATATTTTGAATTTTTTTAAAAAATCATACAGGGTTGTGAAAAAGTTGGGTAATTGATTAACCACGATTGTGTGAAAAAAACTTTGTTAGAAGATTTTATCCAATTTTAACATACAAAGTTAATGGAAATTCTTGCTTTGCTTTATCATCACCGTTACAAATGATTAATTCGACGCGAACGAAGTCGCGGGTACACGCTAGTAGATAATATTTTGAAACAATTATTACTTCCAAAAAACATCTGGTATGGAAATAACAATCCGCAGATAGTGACTCCTTGCTAACAGCGACCTCGTAAAGAAACGTTTGTTTTTTTGGTAAATAGCAGTAACAGTTACAACTGTTCTTGATAAATAACAACCTGTTATTTTAAGCGACAGTGACAGTAACAGTTACAACCGTTCTTTATAAATAACAGTTGTGATTAAAAATAAAATCAATAAATAACAGAAACCAGTTATTTGTATAACCTATTGTTTGTACATAGCAGTGACAGTTATTATTAACAATAAAAGCGGCAAATAACAGATATCTGATATTTAAAATTGTTATTTGTAAGTAGCAGTAACAGTTTTAACTCTTGTTTATAAATAACAGTTACTATTAACAATAAAATCAATAACGAACAGACCTGTTATTTTAAATAATAATAGGTACAACTACTATTTATAAATATCAGCTTTCATTCACAATAAAATCAATAATAAACATAAACCTATTATATAAAGCTTTTATTTGTGAATAGCAGTGTCAGGTACAGCTGTTATTTATAAATAGTAATTATTAATAGAAACTTGTTATTTGAAGCTGTTATGTGTTATCATCAGTAATAATTACAACTGTTAATTAGAATTAACAGTTAGAACTAACAATATAAGCAACAAATAACAGAAACATGTTATTTTAAACTGTTATTTTTAAATAGTTTAGTTACAACTGTTAGAAATAACGGTTTTGTCCACTACTACTACTGAGATGACGTTTTGTCTGTTCTAGGTGTTGTTGTTAGCTCTGACAGAACAGAAAATTTTAATTCATTCCTTGAGGCCCGACGTACTGACTTTAGTTGCCGAGGCTGTCAGTTCTCTATTATTTCCTTTCAAGTGGCAATGTCCGTATATCCCACTGTGTCCATTAGGTATGTAGAAATATAATGATATAATATATTCATTTTTTTCGATCTTATTTGAAAGAAATTGTGAAATTTACTTTAAATGTTTGTTGATGTTTACATTTTTGTTAAGTATGATTAGTGTGTTATTTAGTATTTTTATGTTTGTTTCTAGTGTTTTTGTGTGGAGAGGATTATAGTTTAAAATTGATGCTAGATTGTCATGTAGAACTTTAAATTAAATCTAGTTATATATTTTTAGGTTTAGTAGAGGTGTTACATGCACCATTACCCTTTCTCATAGGAGTAGATTCCAGATTTTTTGACTTATACAAGCCCCCGAGCGACGTTAGTTGTATAGACTTAGACACGAATATCATTACTGTAAGTGATCATCTCAGCCTTACTTTGAATCAGAATTAAGCATCGTCTACACGTAAAGTTTTACCTGTCAGTTTTACGTGTCAACTAAAACGGAGGACCGTCTAGAGAACTGACGACGGGTTCTATAGATGATCTTCCGTTTTAGCCCTATCTCAGTGATGGCGAACCTTTTGAGCTCGGTGTGTATTTTGAAAAATCGAAACATAATTTTTTGTTACCGAGTCTCAAAAGTACCGGGAATTAATTTCGAGTCCCGGTTCTTTGATGACTCAAAAGAACCGGGAATTTCCGGTACTTTCGAGACCGTGGTTTCCCGGTTCTGAATCTTAGACGCACTGTTTCATTTCGTACGTTTGACTGAACAGGTATACCTGACAGATAAAACGGTATGTGTAGATGGGGCTTTAAAATGCAAGTTATTTTATTATAACTGTAGGTACCCGAAGCTCAAAGGTCGTACTTAAATACGAAAATCCTTCCGAAAAAAGCGGCAAAACATCTCAAATCTACTCTCGAATCTCTGTATAACCAATTGAGAAAGAGTATCCAAAATCATCTCAACCAAGACGTGGCTGTTGATAACAACGTCGATAACATCGAGGCAGAATTCAAGAAGAAAAAGAAAGAACAATTGGAAGAATCGGAAATCCAGGAGGCGTTTTTGAAATTTATGGTTAACATTTTGAAGGGGTACAAAGGGTACTTGTTGCCGATTACCAAGGCTCCGACTGTCGGCACGACCGATACGCAAGCCTTGTTCCAATTGAACGAGTTCCTGAAAAGCAGGGACAAGAACCACACGAAGTTCTTCAGTTTGGTGACGAAAACGCAAATGTTTATCAGGTGGGTACTGCTAATGTTGTTAGATTAGATTCTTTGAGGTGGCCTGATTGGACTGATCCACTGCGACCTTTAGATCTATTGTGGTCCCTTTTCTGATCCTTAGGTTACATATCCCCAGTCCTATCCTTTTCAAAAAGTCTAGCAACTAGGAGACTTTTTAAACCATTCTAGAACCGTACTTTTTTGGAACTCGAATTAAGCTTATATGTTTTTCTGACTTAATTATCGTAGTTTGACATGAATAGGCCCTAAAGCTCCAAATATCTTAAATTCTTTAGATACTAAAAAGAATAATACTAATTTGGTATATTTGGTTCTAATTTGGTATTTTTTTGAAAATAATTTGGTATTTTTGGTACTTTTTTCCCAAAATTGGTATTTATTGTACACCATTTTTGGCAGCGGTTTGCCCCTCGGGTGTGTAGTTTGTGAACAAACTAGTTCCTGAGAACCTATTCCGGGATCGAGATTGTGACCGATATAAATAATAATTTGCGACGGCGACGGTTCGGCCAGCGCGATCGTAGCCCGATGCTAGGCGGGAGTGGAGAGTACCAGCCGTATGTTACCTGTCCCAGACCGAAAGGACTGAGAGGAACTAAAAAAAAGACTAGTTCACGGGAATCTATTCAGTCGGCAGATCCGAGATATAATAAAGGCGGCGACGACGGATTCGAACTTGTCTATTGCCAGCTGTCGTAATTACCACAGAACATTGTCGTGGATACTGTTTTTGAGTTTTAGTTTGTTCTTTGAATATTTTATAAAACGAAATATCTTATAAAACGAAGTAGATATTCTGAATTTTTAGACAAAAACAAAAAGTGAGGCAAAAAACAATTTTTCGTAAAATGTTTATATTATTTGCTCCAATTGCTTTGTGATATAGTTTTTTAAACTCTGATTTGAGTTTATTTTTTATTTTTTTTCATATCGAGTTTATTTCATATCGAAGCTTTGTCGAAAAAATTGAGCTCTGCCTGTTTTGCATTAAGGTCTGTTTCTAAGGAGCTTAACTTGTCAGTGGCTAGAACTGTTTATTATGCACTTTTTGAGTCGCACCTCAGGTATGCCCTTCCATTCTGGGGTACGTGTTGTGCGACTCAATTTGACCGCATTTTCAAGCTCCAGAAGAGAGCTGTTCGATATTCACTGGGACTAAACAGCAGAACCCATTGCCGGAACTTTTTTAAACAATTAAAAATATTGGCTCTTCCTTCCTTATAAATATTTGAATCCGTTTGCCTAATACGTAAACATGTATCAGCTTCTCAAGAAAGGCCATCTCACACTTATCCACTCAGGAACGCGGAGCAAGATCTTTATCTACCTACCCCACGCTCAGAGTTAGTTAAAAGTTCAATATTATACAACTCGAAAAAAATGCACAATCACCTGCCATTTGAAATCAAATCCATAACATCATTTTTTTCATTTCGCAAAGCATTGAACTCTTATTTACTAGACAAGGCTTTCTATGCCGTAAATGAATTATATTTGAATTGAAAATCGAATTTGATCTTGAAAACACTGGTCTAATGTTTGCTATTGCTATATTTACTAATGACATCGAAATTAATTTATTTAGAGGTCATTGATATTTTGCTATAAACTGGCTAAATGTTTTTGAATATTATTTTAATTTTTTTGTTCTTTGACATTGTAAAGATTTATAAATGTTTATTTTAACAATAAGACTGACAATATTATTTGTATAATGTTTTGTATTATCTTTTGTTTGTTTGTTTGTGTACCTTGTTTTTTTTTTACTTTGTTTGTTAGTTTACCTTTGTCTACAAATTGAAAAATTTTTGACAATAAAGGCATTTATTTAATTATTTATATTTATTTATTTATTTATTTATTTTTTTTATCTGCGATAAAACTTACCTATATGTTTTTAACATGCGCAATTACACGTCTCGTTATATCCCCGTACATTATAAAAATTATACAGATCATACTGTGAATAGTTCTGACTGACAACGAAATCCAGTAGCCAGCAACGAGGATGTCAATTTTAGTCGGGAGCTATTGTGAACTAAAGACTATAGGAACTTCTATTCGTCTTGAGGAACTGGAGCTAGAACTAAGGAACTAGTTCCTCCCAAGGAACTAGAATTCCCACCTCAACTGCACATGGCTTTGTCCGTCAATTCCATTAGCTTTCGATGCTTATTCATGTTAACAATGCTAGTAGACTCACTACAGTTTTTCTGTCTTTGCTTATCAGGTCTGCCGTGAATTTTGACGAATGTTCCACTATGACATTTTTCACCTGTCTCTGCCCTGGTGAATTTCTCCGCTATTCTAGAGGTTTGTTGGCTGCCCACTGTCTTGTGGCCATTCTCGTGACTGCCGAAGGTTTCTGGTTCTATTAATGGCATTGAAGAGCCTTGTTTGGCCTTTTTGTTACCCTTGTGACCCTTGTACCCTGGTACCCAGGCTAACGTAACACTGCTAAGCTCACCCAATGTATTTAGAGAATCCCACACTAGCTAAAAATGATTTTGTATCAACGAGTGACGGATGCATGAAAATCCGCCATTACTCTGTCATTGTCTAAGCATTTATTCCCTATAGGTTCATCGAAGAACGAAGCTTTGTGGTTGATCAGGGTGACCAAGGATTGACGTTCTTTGACGACTGTATAGAGCGACTAAACAATGAAGACTACAGTATCAGACTCATCGAATTAGACTCGGTACACAAGAGCGACAGGACCGTATTCGTCTTGCCTCCAGAACGTGTGAACGAAAGTAAGTTTTTTAGTAATAATTACTGCTATATTTATTTATTTATCGTATGGCAATTTAAATTCACTATTCTTGTATTAAACTCATGTGTTGTTTGAATATAAATAAGTGTTTGTTCTTTAATAAAAGAAAAGCTAAAACATTCAAATATATACAGGGTGATTCACGACCATTAGACGTTTTTGGAGAACCGTTGATAGTATTTTTTCGAAAATTTGGATTTTTGCATATTTCTCTCGAATTTTAAACTACGCCTTTTAAAAATAACTTTTAGTCAATATAAAAATAAATTACAACTTTCTTAAGGCCAACTGACAGTACGCCGTTTTTTTTTCGGTCGTATGGTATTTGAAGCTCTTTAATTTGACAGGTGATTTGTACAAATACTCTCAGTTTACGTTGAACCCGTTATTATTGAGAAGCGGCAAAAGGAAATATGAACTGCCTTCCTTGTATCAAGCCACGTTACCGGGATCGCCGATGGCAAGACGCACCAAACACGAGATTAAAAGCGCACAAAAATTGGCAAGGTAAAATTGATTAATATTAGCTTAATCTAAAATAAACTAATCTAACATTTTTTATTTCAGAAAATATCAAAGATCGCCTGATACATGGGCGAGATGTCTGTGCGGTACTTGTCACACCCTGTACTTTATGATTCTTCCCAGTATGCTAAGTATGAACGTAGGAAAAGAGAAGGCTGTTCTACAACAAGCATACGAATTGCTAGTCAGGTAAGGTAATTAGAAAACGAAGATCTTAAAACTGTCTTTTTTCCTGCATTTTTGCTTTTATTTTTTTTACACCAACTTTACAGAGAAGAATATTAATTACAGTTTTTTTAAAAATATTCAACCGTCTTTTTCAGGAGTTGAAATGTATTAACAACAAGGTCACTTTTAAAAAAGAAATACATAAATTATTAATTGAAATACAGTCGTGTTAATTTTTTTTTGTAAAGAGATGTAATAACATAAGTCTTCTTCTTCTTGTAATAGGACGAGGTCCTGTCAATTCTGTCAATTATTGTCCTCTTGTGATGTTGATGTCCAGCTGTCATACCAACGCTTTGGGGCCTACCAACTGAGCGTCTTGTATCTGGCTTTTGTGTTTTGGCTCACTTGGCAATTCGATCTGGACCCATCCATGTCTACCCATCCTGGTCTGATTCCGAGCGCGAAAGAAGACGAAGATTTGAAAATTTGATTCTAAAATTCGAAAGTACAATGATAAATTCTTTGGCTACTATCGGATGTCTCAAAAATCTTTTGACGTATTGCTTGAAATATTGAGACCCAGCATCACGAAACAAAACACGACAATGAGGATGACAATGAGGATTCACCCATGCCCTTTGTCGTGCATCTTTGTCGGAATATTCAGGGTTTGATTTGTCCCAAGGGGCAGGTAGCCCACGAATTAGCTCGATAAATTGGTCCGTATCAAACATATTTTGCTTTTCGCGATCAAAGCGGCATACCGCAGAAACGTACCGTGCTACGGTTTACATTCAACTGACTGTGTCGTCACCAAGGTTCCCGCATCCCGCAATCCTGTATTGCGGCAGCATGTCGCCGCACATCCCGCAAAAACGGATAGTGTTACATCTGCCATGCCATCTCATGCGATATTGCCATACCGCAAAACGGGACCCACAGTGCGGGAACTGCAAAAACGGACCGTGTAACGCCGCACTTAGTGTGCCTGAGTTGCGTATTCTGTATAGCAGCGGAGTCCCTTTAATTGTTCGTAATATTTTCATCTCTGTTGTTCTCATTTTCCGTTTTGTTTCTGATGTTTCTACTCTTGTTTCAGCTTGTATGGTTCTTATACAGCTCTTATAAATTTGCGACTTACTCTCTGCATTCATGTATTGATTTTTCAATATTACATCACGTAAATACCCTGATATTCTTGAATATTACCATAGATTGTGTTTTTTCGCATGAAATTTGCATGTTAAGACTCTGTGCCGCTAAGTTAAATTTATAGAAGAGGCGCTGTAGGTCGTCTTCATTTTCAGCAATCACGAATCACATCATCTGCTTAACAGCGTATTCTCAGGTAACGGTTGTTCATCTTAAATCCTGCTTTAACCTCGTTTATACTTTCATTTATTTGGTCGATTATTATATTAAAGAGACATCGGCTAATGCTATCTCCCTGTCTGATACCAGATAAGATTTTGAGTTCTCTTGTTAAGCCACATTTTGTTCGTATACTTGTTTTATTATTTATATCGTTTCCTAAACTAACCGAACAATGAAAAGTAAAGCTAAGTTGTACGCATCTTTCGATAGCGCAGATTTCTGCCCGAAGGATGCTGAGGTGGACACTAGGGTGAGCCAAAAAACTAACCTATGGAATTTATGGATTAAAATCAACGATGTACTTAAACAGCCGTTAAACGGTAGCCTACTAAAATGCCGTTAATAGATATTGTGACGTCGTTCATGTCGGCGGAAAGTAATGCCTACCTATAAGCATTTTGCAAGAGCACCTGTGGCTCCGTGGCTGAGGCTATCGCTTCGTGAGCGAATGGTCCGTGGTTCAAATCTCACG